GCAGATGAGAGATTGGAACCCAGGATTTCCTGATGCCTGAACTTGAACCCTTTCCAAGGCCACACTCCGGGGCCTCACACACACTCTGGTGACTCTGATTACTCACATGCAAAACCCCAGGCTTCCCAGAGAAAGATCTAACGCTCCGCCGGACTGTGAAGCTCTAGTAATACGATCCTAAGTTTTTGTATTCATGAAATGCATGACCTTAAAGTATTCGCTTTATCTAACTTGACCAAGGTCACGCAGATTGCCAGGGAAGGAACCGAGATGGGAACCAGTCTTCCCACACCGGTGTGCCTGCTTGTCTCCCCATTCAGGGTCTCTGCAAAAGTCCTTCATGTACTTTATGGGAATTCTCCCCCCAACATTGTCTGCTAAACAGTGTGTTAAGAGCAGGTGCATTTGGGGGGGGGAAGGGTTCATAGTTTTCATGACATTCTTTATATATATATAAAATTTACTTCAGAGAGGAAGGGAGAGAAACATCAATGATGAAAGAGAATCATTGACGGCTGCCTCCTGCACGCCCCCTACCGGGCATGTGCTCTTAACTCGAATTGAACCCGGACCCCTCAGGCCGAGGGCCGCTGCTCTAGCCACTGTGGCACACTGGCTAGGCCTAGGGCTTTCATTATATTCTTAAAGGTGCTTATGATCAAAAAGTTTACTTCTATCTCATGTATCTATTTTCTTAAACTTTTATTTTCAAAGCTGTTTTTAGCTGAGTACAAGGAAGAAAAATGAAGAAATGATGGGGGCGGGGGTTGGCGAGCCAGAATATTAAAGCAGACGCCAACTTTTCATTCCCGTTGCTATTCATTCATTCAGCAGATTTTTGCTGAGCACCTGCTCGGTTCCAGGCGCCATTCCAGAGTCTCGGGATGCTGCGGTGGGGCCACCTCTTGGCGTCGGGGTTTACAGTCTATCAAGGGCGACGGACAAAATAATAATGCCGACGGCGACTGCGTCAGGCGCCATGAAAAAGTGACGTAGGGTCCAAGAGAAGCGGTTTGTGTTGCCCACGAACTCCAACGATGCCAGGGTGCCCTCCACAGACCTTGCTTTTGCGCTGAGCTTCCCCGGTGTGGTCGGCGGGAGGCGCAGCACGCACGGCCCCTTCCGCCCTCGGCTCCCGGCTCCCCACTAGGACGCGGCCGACCGTGAGGAGAGTGCGCATGCTCCTCGGTTAAAGGCACCGCCCAATAGGAACTGCCTCTGAGGTGGAGTCCCGCCTCCACAGCGCGTCCTTCTGCTTCCGCTTCCGGCGTTGGGAGGGCTCGGTAAAAAGATGGCGACTGCGGCTGCGGCTCGGGTTGCTGGGCTGCTGGGCCGGTTGCGGCCCCAGCTGGCGCGGCCCATGTCGAGTGGCGCCCACGGCGAGGAGGGCTCAGGTACGGGGGCGGCGGGGGGCGGGGCTGGCCCGGCGGCGGCGAGGCGGGCGGCCTGTGACCTTGGCGTGCGGCCTTGGGGGGGAGGGGGAGGCCGGACGGGCCGCCGCGGGCTCAGCCGTGCGCCCCCGCAGCTCGCCTGTGGAAGTCCCTCACCTACTTCGTGGCGCTGCCCGGGGTGGCCGTGAGCATGCTGAACGTCTTCCTCAAGTCGCGCCACGGGGAGCACGAGCGGCCCGAGTTCGTCGCCTACCCGCACCTCCGCATCAGGACCAAGGTACGCCCTGCACTCGTGGAGGGTCCGTCCCCCTTCCGTTCCGAACGCCCCCGTCCAAGTTCTTGCTTTTCTAAAAGCGCGGCGTCCATTCCAGGCGCCTACCGTTTCTCGTGAAATAACCCCCAGTGGTGGTTTTCTTGGGTTTTACGGAAGGGAACCTGGGCGGGGGGTCGGGGTGACGGGGGATGTCGCTTCTCAGTTTCTTCCGAGCCCTGCAGGAAGTGGCTTCCGGTTTTCCTCTTCCGATCCACCGGCCTCTGCCTTCCGCCTGCTCGGAAGCAGTTGTCGTCTGTGTAGGACGTGTCGTGGGGGAACCTGCTTAGCCCGGCGCAGTCGGCACGGGCTCCCCGTTCTGAGAGCTGGGCGCCTGGCGGGCCCCGGCTGCCTGAGGAAGAGACCGGCCCTGTCCGCTCTCCTGCAGGCTGTGTGTCTTCTCGGCTGGGCTGTGCTGTGGCTGTGGCTGTAGCTGTCATCACCGCTTGCTCTCCGTTGTTTGCTGTATTTTTTTTTAATACATTTTTATTGGTTTTAGAGAGAAAGGGAGAGAGAGAAACATCCATGATGAGAGAGAATCATGGATGGGCTGCCTCCTGCAAGTCTCCCACTGGGGATCGAGCCCACAACCCAGCCATGTACCTTGACCGGAATCGAACCCGGGACCTTTCAGTTTGCAGGCCGACGCTCTATCCACTGAGCCAAACCGGCTAGGGCAATTTGCTGTATTCTTGGCAAGAGCCCCTCTGGTTCTTTCATAACTGTTACATCACTTAGTCCAGGTGGGACTGGCCTCATGGAGATGAAGTAGATTCTTAGGTTCAGAAAGAATTTGTTTTGTTTTCTTTTTTGAGTCTTTGAGCCCCACTCCACCCTCGTACAGTAGAATTAGAAGTCATACAGCAAGGTTTCTCCGCCTCAGACCTGTTGACATTTAGAACTGGGTCATCCTTGTGGGGAGCCGGCTGTCCTCAGTTGTAGGCTATTTAGCAGCATCCTTGACCTCTACCCACTAGATGCCAGTAGTTCCCCATCCTGCCTCAGATGTCTCCAGATACTGATTGATTGCCTAGTGTCCCTGGAATGGCAAAATCATCCTGGGTTGGAAACCACGATCCAAGAGCAATGCTTTTGAAAGGTACCATGGGAGTATCTTCTTCCCACGACCACCTCTGCCATTCCCATACAGGTGATTGAGGGTTACACTTTCATAAACACAACACGGATATACCTACCAGGGAGAGGTTTATGAATAACAGACTTACGCTTTCTTTTCCTGTTACCTACTTTATGTCAGTGGTTAAAGGACCAATTTCCATTTTGTCTTATATATTATCTGTCAGTTACCCTATTTTAAGCAGTCCATGGCAGTGGGGTTTCTGAATTTTCTGGAATGTCCTAATTGACGTCTTCATTCCACAGCCCTTCCCCTGGGGAGATGGTAACCATACTCTATCCCATAATCCTCATCTGAATCCACTGCCAACTGGCTATGAAGGTGAATAAAGAGCACCTGGACCACTACCCAGTGGGGACCACAGCACTGGTTTGGACCATACTCTGCACACAGACCAGAAAAGTGTATGGGACCTTAAGCTGACTTCTTTCCTGAGGTAAAATGACTATATAATATACTGGTCTTCCATCTCTTTGCTATGGCAGGAGATAGCTTAAATAAATAACAGGTTGGTCATGAGCTGAGAGTTGCATTCTTTGGTGGTGGTTTTCCCTCGGAAATTAGCATTAATGTTATTTCTGTTGCTGCAGTGAGGCCTCTGAATAATGGGGTTTATAACAGGCCTGTCTTTGGTTTCTTGTGCCGAGGGTATCCTATTGAAAAAAAAGCTAATATGCACATTGTCCCCTTGACCAGGAGTTCAACCAGGGGGCTGGGCCAGCTGGCCAACCACCCGCGGCCCCTTCCATGGTTGCTCTGGCCCAATCGGCCCAGATAGGGGTGGGCCGGCCAGACCCCACCCATGCACAAATTCATGCACTGGGCCTCTAGTGTAACATAAAGCAAAAGGAATGGTGCTAAGTATCAAGATTGGGTCCCGCATGGCCAGCAGAATGGCTGCAGTTTCACTTAAAAAGGTTTCTGATTCTCGAGAGGAAGTGCTTCCTGTATCTCAGCATTTTCCTATCCCTTTCTGTCAGCATTTGCTGCAGGATACTAATTGGCCTGATCATTTCCTCTGGAGGTGTCAGGTTCTCACCCCGGGGTCATCTCTCAGCACCCTGAAGGTTGTTAGGGTCAAAAACCTTTGGAAAAATAAAGGCAGCTTCTTTGAAGTAGCTGAGATAGTTGAAGGGTGAAGTCAAAATAACATGAGGAACAACAACAAAAAGTATTTTCTCAATAGCAATTACAATAAAAGAACATGATTGGCCTGGAGCTCATTTTATTCTCAAGGCTCAACCAGACAGTTTTGTGGTAAGATTTAGGAAGTTGCACCGTTTTTGGTGTTAACACATACAGTCCTATAGTCAACTGGTACTGCACAAAGGTGAGGCACATAGGAACATGGGGTGTGGAAACCATTGACAGTTAAGAAAAGAATCCGTGTTATCTTTGCCATTTTGTGATCTAGCCACACCCTGTGCTTCGCCATAGAACTGTTTGTGCTTGTGGCCAGTGGGAGTTCAGGACATGGACTTATCTTCAGCTTGCTGTCTGGCCCCCTCAGCTGGGTTCCAAATATCTCTTGTAATCCTTGTAGAATGGACATGAAACCATCAAAATATAAATGCAGGATGTTTTGAAATGACCGTAAGGACTGATCGCATTAAATAGGAAGTAGTGTGCTCGCTTCGGCAGCACATGTACTAAAATTGGAATGATACAGAAAAGATTAGCATGGCCCTTGCGCAAGGATGACATGAAAATTCGTGAAACATTCCATATTAAAAGATAATAAAAAATCAGTATGAAGTAGTAATTGGTAAATTGGAGAGAACAGAATTTAGGCCACCTTTCAATCAAGTTTCAGACTATTGAATCAAATTACTCAAGCAGTTTTGGGAACTACATGACATTCTAGGGCAGCGGTCGCCAACCAGTGGTCTGCAGACCACTACTGGCCCGTGAGTGTTCACCTTATCCCGACTTAGTGCCATTATATAAACATTTAAAAATATTTGTGTAGTCTACTGTGGAAGCACATTTTTAAAGTCAGTGAGGTTTCCAATTGCTATGCCATACTACCTAAGTCAGATAAATCTTCACTTTTCCCTCACCTTTATATTATAAAACATAAAGCCCCCCTGTATATATGGGATATGTGTGATAACAGGGCGAATAGCTGTTTTATAAAGTGCAGAGTTCAAGGGGCAAATAATGATAGAAACGAAATGTTACAATTTATTCCATCTTCATGATTACAGATATTACAGAGCAGGGTGGGTAAACAACGCAAATAAAGCAAATGCCTTTCTCCCTAACCAGATACAGTATTTTGGCATTTTCATGATATACAGGTTGACTTAATTCATTGACTTAGCTTGAAAGCTGGCCACAGCAGCAAATCTTTGCAATTTAGGATTTTCCTCCATAGCATACTCCGGGGATCTTAATGACTGAACTCTGAACTCTGAAATGGTGTTCGCACTAACGTTCTTGAAGCTTTCACATCTTAATCTGAGATCTGACACCTCTTGTTAAGGCCGGGAACTGTTAAAGCTTCCTGTTGGCTAACCCAGTCCACCATTGAGCAATCTGAACAGTTAAGTTACTATAAAAAAATAAAACTGCTCCCAAGCATTGATTGAAACAGTCATGCTGGGATCCCTTTTCAGAGGATTAGCTCCCTGAGAGAAAAGAGGTCCTAACCAGTTGCTTCCATGAACAATGACCCCAGTACAGTATATCTAATGTCCTTTGAAGCATAACTCTAGGGGTCAGGCAACCATGATTATCCTGACAAGTTTATCAGTCTTTAGATACAAGATCCCAGATGAAGTATTGCAACCATAATCTCAAGAAATCATTCAGTTTTAGCACAGCAAGTGAGAAATCATCCCAAAGTAAAAAGTGATGGTTCAAAGTGAGAGGAAAACATCCAGGAGGAAAATAAGTCCTCATTAAATTGATGGCTGTCTTCACAGCTAACTTAATTGACAAAATCCAGAGGGCTCAAATTTCCAGATCTGAGGAGTCTATTTTCAAGGTGACTGACAAGGTCAAGAAGAGCTTTCAGGCTTGTCTCTGCCATGGCCCATGAACTCCAGTCCTTCAATGGGAATCTCCTTCTCCTTTATTGCTTTCTGGTGGGAGAAGAGAACATTATAAAGGTCAATATGAAGCTTACTGGCGTTGAGCAAGCCTCACTTTTCCTGTCTGCAATTGGGATAAAGACAGCAACTGCAGGGAGGGAGGGAGAGAAAACAGGTCAATAAAGGGTTTATAACAACAAAAAATAAAGCCCTCCATCAGGCCAATAAAGGGTTTATAACAAAAAATAAAGCCCTCTATAATGTCTTAACAGGCCAGAGAGAGGCTAACACCCAGCCTCACCCCCAAACAGTAAGAATGGAAAAGTGCACTGCCCCCCCCCCCCCCCCCCCCCAAAGGCAACGATTCTAGTGAACTCGGCCTCAGCACTTCCTTTTCCTGGGCGTGCGTGCTCGTTTTCAGATAGAACTACGCCCACTTGCAAGTTCACGATGAGCCCCGAGTGAACCACAGAATGTGACTGCTCCGTGGGAAGCAAGCATTTAACTCTGTCACGGGAGAGCTCCCGGCGGCCTGCCCGGGCCTCAATGACAAGGCTCTTCTCCACCCCCGGCCCCACGCCCTCCAGACCGAGGCGAGGGCCGGGGAGCGCGGGGCGGGGCCCGCTCACCTGGACGCACTGCTGGTAGCGCTTGAAGAGGTCGGTGCACGGGTCCCCGGAGCTGTCGCCCTTGAGGAACTTCTCGGCGAACCAGCGATTGAAGCACTGGTCGTACTCGCGCTTCATGTCGGTGCAGCCCTCCCCGACGCTGTTCATGGCGGCGGCGGCGGCGCGCTCTGACGTCGTCATTCCTCGGCGTCGCCGGCGGGCGCGGGCCGGAGTGCGGGAGGAGGCGGCATGTGGGCGCGGGCGGGGCGGCGCGTCCTCCGGGCCCCGCGGGGCGGGTGCCGGGGCTTCGCCTCCCGGGCCGGGTCTCCGGGGAAGGCCGGAGGCGGGGGTGTCTCCGCGGGGCGGGAGGCGGGGCGGGCGGCGCCGGAAACGGGGCGCATCGCCCGCGAGGTGGTCGAGCACCTGGAGCGGCTGGCGCTGGTGGACTTCGGCGGCCCCGAGGCCGTGGCGCGGCTGGAGAGAGCCGTGGCCTTCGCCGACCGGCTCCGCGCCGTGGACACGGACGGGGTGCAGCCCCTGGAGTCGGTCCTGGAGGACAGGTGAGCCCGGCTGCGGCCCACGCCTGGCTGTGGGGCCTGCGCAGGCATTGGGGTGGCGATTAGGGTCTCGGCCTCGAGGGAGGAAGAGCCTTGGGCGAGAGGCAGGAACTCGCCCCGGTCACCGCGGGGGAGTGTGACCAGCGGGTCCTTCCTCGCGTTTAAATTCCTCCCGGTGTCACCGGGAACGAAACCCGACCTGCGGATGGTCTCGGAGGTTCTCCTTCAAGAGCTCCCCCTGCTCGTGGACACACTCCTGACCAGTCCAATCGCGTGGGCACCATGCGTTTCTCCGACGCGCCAAATCCTTCCTTCGCTAGGATCTTTGCACTTGTTATTCCATTTTTCTTGAACAATCTGTCTCTTTCGCAGGTCTATTTAGCTCCTCTGAAGGGCCTGCCCTGACCAGTCCAAATCCCCTCCCCACTTCCTTATCTTAATTGGGTTTTCTGCAGATATATTTCTTGACTGTCCTATTTTTGTTGTTATGTCTCTTGTTAAAATAAGTTAATATCTGACTTGCTAAGTTGGATTCATGTCTCAAATTTTTATTTTTTCAAAAATTTAAATGTACGTATTGTCTGACCTAGTGGTTACGGAACTATCTGTGAAAGTGCACCAAGCTGTGTGTACAAGTATCCAGGGTATGCAAATCTGTTCATAGTAAGGAAGAAACAAAGAAACCCCCTAAATCAGTGGTTCTCAACCTTCCTAATGCCGTGACCCTTTCATACAGTTCTTCATGTTGTGTGACCCCCAACCATAAAATTATTTCCGTTGCTACTTCATAACTCTAATTTTGCTGTTATGAGTTTTAATGTAAATATCTGATATGCAGGATGTATTTTCATTGTTACAAATTGAACATAATTAAAGCCTAGTGATTAACCACAAAAACAATATGTAATTATATATGTGTTTTCTGATGGTCTTAGGCGGCCCCTGTGAAAGGGTCGTTCGACCCCCCCAAAGGGAACCGCTGCCCTAGAAACAGATATAATCTAAGTATCCTTTGTGGCTAAATACATCATCATACAATGGACTATTCAGCAGCTGTTAAAAATAATGAAACAGCCCTAGCGGGTCTGGCTCAGTGCATAGAAGGTTGGCCTGTGGACTGAAGGGTCCTGGGTTCTATTGGGTTCCATTCCTGTCAAGGGCACATTTCTGGGCATGCAGGAGGCAGCCGATCAATGATTCTCTCTCATCATTTATGTTTCTATCTCTCCCTCTCCCTTCCTCTCTGAAATCAATAAAAATATATAAAATAATAATGAAACAGCCCTGCCCTAACCAGTTTGGCTCAGTGGATAGAGCGTCCGCTTCCGGACTGAAAGGTCCCAGGTTCAATTCCGGTCAAGGGCATGTACCTTGGTTGCGGGCACATCTCCAGTAGGAGGTGTGCAGGAGGCAGCTGATTGATGTTTCTCTCACATTGATGTTTCTCTCTCATCGATGTTTCTAACTCTCCTTCTCCCTTCCACTCTGTAAAAAATCAATAAAATATATTTAAAAAAATAAATAAAAAATAAGGAAATACTAGTATCTCTTTTATAGATGAAGAAACTAACAGACAGGCTATGTAACATGTCCCAAAGTTTCCCAGGGAGTGAGAGATGTCAGGGTTTGGAATTCAGAGCCTTACTGCTTTAGATGTGCTGTAGAAACTTTATTCTCTTTCATCTCAAAGCCAGAGGCTGACTCAGATGACGTCTCTGACTGCAGCCAAATACTTCAATGCTTAGGATGGCCCTCAGGAACCTTATTTGAACCAAAAACTCTGAGCCAAAATGATTAACTTTCAGTCTGGACTGCATCAAACTAGAAATAAATTAGGAGGGAGGGAGAATGCTTGTAGATAGAAGTAGGGTGGTGCCTAGAGAAATGACTCCTGGCAGCCAGCTTGATACCAGGGAAGGGCAGAAACTGAAACAGCAGAACTGCCCTAGTGTCAGTCCGAGGCTGGCAGAGCCTCTTCCTCCGCGCTGCTATACTCCTCTCCATTCATACTTTTTATTTGCATTTCCCAGTTTAGTACTGTCTGTGAGCTCTGGAGGGCAGGGATTTCTAGTTGACAGCTGAAGCCTTTCTCAAGCAGGTTCTTCATCTGAACCAGAACACAGATCCAAGTGACTCTTTTCAATCCTTCCAAGGATAGGTACCTATATAACTAATATTAGCCCAGACACAGAGCTGATCATCAAAATGGGTGTCCTACGGCATCTGGGCTAAACTTTCTTGTAGAACTTGGACTGAGAAAGCTGAGGTGAGGTAGGCATTTAGTCAGTGACTGATTCACAGCACCTGAAGAGCTCATCAATTCCTGTTCGGTGTCTTACACGATTCCGAGGTCAAGAAAAGTTAATCTACTTGCCAAGTGAAGGGTCTGCTTGTAGTGCCACTCTCATAGAGACCCTGGGCTCAGTAGCCTATGATGAAGAAAACAGGGAGGTGTGGGTTTATTCTAGAAACATCATTATAAACAGGGAAATGTGTGATAATTAAAGGGATGAATTTTTTCCTGGAAATGTCACCCATGGTGAAGTGAATAAATCAGTTGCTACTAGATCAACTGTTGGAAAGCAGTGGCTTTTAACTTGTTGGCAGTAGGAGAGTCTTCATCAAAATCTCCAAGGGCCCAGGAACAATGGGCACCCCTCCAGTCTGTAGAGACTAGGCAGGTTAAGTGTGATTACAGCAGGTGAAGTGCAGTTATACTCTGAATGAGTAGAGGGGACTGATGTGTACTTGGGGTGTGCTAACTCTTTCTAAAAGGAGCAGGTGCGCCCTAGCTGGTTTGGCTCAGTGGATAGAGTGTCAGCCTGAGGACTGAAGGGTCCCAGGTTCAATTCTGGTCAAGGGCACATGTCCAGGTTGCAGGCTTGATTTGATCCCCAGTAGGGGGCATGCAGGAGGCAGCCAATCAATGAGTCCCTCTCATCATTGATGTTTCTATCTCTCCTCCTCTCTGAAATCAATATAAATAAATTAGGGGCCCGGTGCACGAAATTCGTGCGGGGGGGGGGGGGGAGTGTCCCTCAGCCCAGCCTGCCCCCTCTCACATACTGGGAGCCCTCAGGGGATGTCCTAGTGACGGCTTAGGCTCGCTCCCAGCTCCCCTTGGGGAGCGGGCCTAAGCTGCAGTCTGGCCTCCCTTTGTGGGAGGTGACCGGGCTGATCAGGGGAAGGCACCAGCCCCATCACCCCGCTGCTGCAGCCACTGCCAGTCACTGCAGCCAGCAAGGTTTTTTCATCAACACGGACTCCAGTCCCATCACCATGAAAAAATGACAACTTTTTTAGGCATTTTCAAGATGTGTCTTTCATATAATAATAATTTCTTTATTATTTTTTATCCTCACCTGAGGATATGTTTCCATTGATTTTTAGAGAATGTGAAAGAGAAAGGGAAAGACAGAGAAACACATCAAAATGAGAGGAACACTTTGATTGGTTACCACCTGCATGAGCCCTGACCTGGGCCCCGGCCAGGGAGGAGCCTGCAACCTAGGTACATGCCTGGGTTAGAATTGAACCCAGACCCTGCCATCGGCAGGCCAAGGCATTATCCACTGAGCCAAAGTGGCTAGGGCAGGATATGACATTTCTTAGCCCTCCAGCAGCGGACCTTTGTTTTTTTCACCAGAAGTGTGGTGAAAAACCCTAGGTCACCGTTTTGGATTCCTATTACCCAAGTTACTAAGAATGTTACCAGTGGCATATAGGGAGCTTAACCAATGAGCGGTCAGAAAAGGTGCTTCCTCTGTAGTTCACACCAATCTGCGGCTTGGCACCCCACCCATCCCCGCCCCAGGCTTGACGCCTCTGGCCCAGGCTTCAGGCCTGGGCAGGGGAACCCCATCTCCCCCGATCACGGGCTCCACCCTTGCCCAGGCCTGACCCCTTGGCCAGAGGCATTGACCCCCATCACCCTCCGATTGCCAGATTGGCCCCTTGCCCAGGCCTGATGCCTCCACCAGAGGTGTAAGGCCTGGGCAGGGGACCCCCATCTCCCTCCCATAGCTGGCTCCACCCTCCGCCCAGGCCTGAGGCCTCTGGCCCAGGTATCAGGCCTGAGCAGGGGACCCGCACACCCCTCCGATTGACGGCTCCACCCCCCCACCCAGGCCTGACGCTTGGGCCAAAGGCGTTGACCCCCATCACCCTCCAATTGCAGGATCGGCCCCTGGCCCAGGCCTGATGCCCTTGGCCCAGGATTCTGGCCTGGGCAGGGGACTCCCAACCCCCTCCAATTGCTGGCTCCGCCCCCCGCCCAGGCCTGATGCCTCAGCCAGAGGAGTTGACCCTCATCACCCTCTGATCCCCGGATCGGCCCCTTGCCCAGGCCTGAGGTCTCCAGCAGAGGTGTCAGGCCTGGGCAGGGGACCCCCAGCTCCCACCATCCCCGGCTCCGCCCCTGCCCAACCTAATGCCTCTGGCCAAGGCATTAGGCCTGGGCAGGCGACCCCCAGCTGCCCAGGATCGCTGACTCCGCCCCATGATGGCTGACTCCACCCCTGCCCAGGCCTAACGCCTCTGGCCAAGGCATTAGGCCTGGGCAGGGGACCACCAGCTGCTCACGATTGCTGACTCTGCCCCTGCCCAGGCCTAACGCCTCTGACCGAGGGTTAGGTCTGGGCAGGGACCCCCAGCTCCCCACGGTTG